AACGATGATAGTCCAATGGTAGCTATAGATTTCTTACACCAGTTTAGGGATTCTAAATTGATCTGATCCATCTTCATCTGCTTCGCAGCATTTTGAATATTTTTAGGTTAATTTTCTGGGTTATTGCAACGCGAACTGTGATATAATTTAATCATCTGATCATACCGTGGGTATCCGAGGAATCTGGCGGATGAATTCACCCGACAAAGCTGAAACCCTGCTGCATTTTATTTTATTCTTTAAGCCTGTAGGGTAAAATTCTGCTCCGATTAGAAATCCAGAAATACAATAACTAAGAAAAGCGAAAAAATAATACAAGGGAACTTTGCCTTTGTGAGTGGCGTAAAAGTCATATAAGATGCAAAAAAGGAATTCAAATCAGCTCCCCATAACTTCGCACAGCATATTCCTGCGGTGTTGTATTGGGAACATTTTCCGATCATTTTTTAAAAATAATGTTATGATCGAGAAATGTTTGACGTTGTGAGAGGGGAGAGGACTGATTTGATTTCACAAAAAGATAAACTGCCTCTAATGGAGACCAATTTTTTCAATCCTAAATCTCACTAGATCGAAATTTCAAATCCATGGAAAGATAAACCTTATAGCCAAGGTAAAACCCTAAACCTGGCAATGCCAATATAATCTCAATGCCTACGCGGAGGTTAGAAGGAACTCAAGAGGCCAAGACCTTTGCATTCCTATGTCTTATTTGGACATTTGGGCAAAGAGATGTAATCAGATCCATTCAACAAAATCCGAATTAGATCTGATTATTGAAAACTTGTATCCGAATTCAATCTAAAAACCAATTGTATTTGAAAACTTGGGATTTGAATTTGAATTCGAACCAACTCAAATTGGATTTGGATCTAATCTGACTCCACTTTAATTTTTTAAAATTAAAAAAAAAAATGTTAAAAAGTTAATTATTTTTCAATTTTTATATATAATAAAATAATGTAAATATAATATACTAAATTTATTGTATATAATTTATTTATTTTATAATTTTAAATATAATTATATAAAATTTATGATTAATCAATAAATATTATTATATAATCCAACTAGATGGTGTTAAATGCAAATCTAATCCAATTAATAATTAAATGCAGATTGCACAATCTAAATCTAATCCGATTACATAAATAATTCATCTAAATCCACGATAATCTGATTGAATGTTGGGTTGGGCCTCAGATTTTTGGGTATCACTGAACAAGCTTATTGGGCATTTCACAATTTTTTTATATGAAACTTGGTTTTATGGCATTTCTAAGGCTAAAGTAGACTAGACCAACTTGTACTTGTTAAATATATTCATCAGTTACACCACCCCCTCCCTTTATGGTTAAAAACTTAAATGCTGTTTGGTTTCATTATTATTTATTTAAAAATTAGTATCAGCTCAGTGCCACATAAGTGTTTTTCTAATAAAATTTGAAATATTGTTTGCTTAAACCGTTTATCAAAGTACCGCTTTTCTCTGAAAACCATTTGTTAGAGAACACTATGGCATTTTTTCACTATTCAAACTTATGTGACACCTGATATGTCTTAATGGACCTAATTGTCAGAAAATATTAAAAACCATTTTTTTAATAGATTTTCTCGCTTTTCAAGAGTGATCCACCATCCGTTGGTGTAAAAAAAAAAAAAAATTAATTTGGCACAAGCTTTTCCCCTGCAATAATTCTTTTGTTGTATTTTTTCAGGTAATAGCCATGATACCGGACAACTCTTTTTTTTATCAAGTGGGACCCGTTTTTGTCACATTCTTCACAGAGTTTGTCCAAGGTTTTTTCTATTTTTTAATTGGCAAAGACATTAAATTATTTTTAGTATTATGATACAGATTTGAACTCACATTCAATTTTGTTAGAGTACTTTGGCATTTCTTACGGATTTACTGATGTTAACAAGTTATATTCCTTTAAAAATTAATCTCATTTAGATTAATTAAAAATAACTCCATCGGATTCCTTTTAATTTTATCAGAAATCATGGCTTGAGATACGTTGACAGGTCGGAGTCAGCAGAATTTAGTTCAATCCAAAACCAACCCGAAATCACTTCAATCCAACTTCGGCTTCGCCCAACTGTTATGGAATTTCTTGAAATCAAAAACCTGCGAACACTCTACAAGCATGGCCACTGCATATTGGGAACATCCCCTATGAATTCAATCAAGGGCTCATTTGGTCAGAATGGTCATTCTCTCCCTCTATCTTGAGAATAAAATCTCATTCTAATTTATTGTCTGTACTAAATAGATTTCGATTCCAACTATAAATCAAACGGACCCCCTAAAGATACATTCATGATCATGATGTGCCGCTGAGTTTTGTGTTGTCATTTTTTTCTTTTAAAAGAGAATGATCACGCTGACCCATCTCATGATGAACACCGGCATTATCCTTATCAAAGGGTATGTTCAATTATAAGTTTTCGCTCAGTAACACTATTTCGATTGGTTAATTTTGGCGTGGGCCAATCTCAACCTGCCCAAATCCTAATTAAGTCTAACCAGAGACTCCATGGAATGCTAAGGTGGATTTGCCCCATAACATCACCCATTGTAATAGATATTCCTACTTGGAATACAAGGTGTCTTGGGGTTAGGGACAATAGGACTTTATAAGGGCTTCAGCCTCCTCCATAATTTGCCACCTTTAAATATTAATAACTAAGAGAAATAAGGGGAAGGAGAGTATCAAAGAAATTGGAGTTGCGGCTGAAGAGGTGAATGCGCATCAACAAAACCCTGGTACAGTTGCTTCGATTATTAAGAATATCTTAGGAAAATTAAACCCTAAAGACAAAACAAATTTATCATAGAACAGGGAGAAAAAAATGTCTCTCTAGGGATTAACTTGGTGTCTCTAGAATCAAGTAATTTGCCAAGTGGTGACTGAAACCCGAAAGATTCAAAATATCGATATGTCCGATATATCGATATAGGTGTATTGGGTGAATCGATACAGCTTTTGGTGTTTTTTTTTTTTTTTTTTTTTTGTAACTGATTCAAGAGAACTGATTTAGGCCTCCTCCACACCCTGAACCGGTTAGACTCCTGATACACCCACTGTAAGGGCATATCGGAGGGTGTCTCAGTCAGTGGGCTGTGACGATTATATCTATATGAACCGTGGTTGTTTACCCTTAATATAAGCCTCGGGGCTCGATTTAGACGTGGCAAGAAGGACGAGCTAGGTTGTCGATCTTAGTGGGCACGTTTAGATGGTTAGTAGTAGCACGTCCGCCATCCACAGGGCACACCTAGGCGACCTGTTTGCAATCCACGGGTGCCTTGTATCTACTTCCCCATGAAGTGGGGGAAGTGGGCTTCTAATAATGCCAAGTGGTCCCATGTTTGTATAAGTTACGGGTTGGTCATTCCTTACTAAGGGAGATAAAGGAGGGAGTTCAAATCAACCCCACAATGTTCCTAATACACGGCAGGAATGTGCTGTGTGGGAACATCTTCTGATAATAACATTATCATCTAGAGATGTTCCCAAAATGTGACAAGTGGAACATTATGAGGGGCTGATTCGGTCTCCAAATGAGGAGCTCGTCATGTCAAAGGCACACTATACTCGCAGAGGCCTCTCAGGTCGCGGACAGCTCAAATCGGATGAGTAGGCTGAGACAGTTATGTGACCAAATCAGAAATCGGATCCACTTTAGGTCGGATGTTGGATGCTACTCGGGTCTCATAAGCTAAATTGATTTGACGATGTGCCATTAAGTGAGGTCTTATCACATGTATTGTCGAGGTGCGTGTTCAAATCACCACATTATATATTATACATTATATAATGTATATATTATATGTATATAATTTGAGTTTGGTCTAAATCAATTCCAGACTAGATGGAACCGGTTCTAAATCATAATAATTAAGGCACTATATTAGTACTTAAAACTAACCCATCAGCTTGGTTCTAATTTCTAAAACGATAACCAATCCAACTAACTCGGATTTATCAGATCAAACCCGACCCATTAACAGCCCTATTTCCGATCCACATCCATTCCCTACAACTTTTTAATTTTAACACCACAACATATGGAATTTTCATTTGAAAAGTTCAATCTAAACGGAAAACTCATATCCATATCATGATGTTTAGGCCCGTAATAATTTAGTAATTAAATTATGAATAAGGCACTTAACAGAACTGAATGCGAAATAGCCCTAGGATTCACGTAACCTGACCCAACTCCACACATAATAGTTGATGATGATGATGATTGATAATCCAAACTCATATATCGTATAAATGCCGCAATCCACACCAAAACGTGCGAAACATCTAACCGTTTGAATCGAATTTTGGACATTTATGCCATCGTTGGATATGATATTATCCGTGGTCGGCTGATCCTAATATCTTATTCTACATGAATGTTTTCGAAACTTACGCCCTATTGTAGGTAAAATATTTATTGTTTCTTGTAAATAAATCCGAGCATTAAAGTACTAACTGCCAATAAGATACCTAAGATATATTGCTTTTAGATACGGATTATTGGAGAAAAGGATTTAACAAGGAAAGTCTTTTGTGTAAATTGTCATTTTTAGCCTTGATAATTGCGTTTAATAAAGGCTACACTTGGCATTCACATATCAAATTATATTCAGGACCCATCTTCGTTGCTTCGTATTTTCTAGTTTATGTTTCTCTCGAGTCTCGACAGTCGACACCACGGGACTCCTCCCCATTCCCCGGGCATGGTGTCACTTCGTCGCGCTGCCACGTATCCAATTCGGTGCGTGCGTGGGTCCCATTTCCTCATCCTCATTCTGAAATCACACAATCACTTCTTCGATCCTTATATTTTCAGGACAAGTGTCCAACATGAACGCGTATCTATCTGTAGGATTCAACGCAGTAATCACAAACGCCTGATTAGTCGACACGTGTAGTTAAACAATATTTCCTTGATCCCTTTTGTCCTTATCCGCGCGATGCTATATATATGGATCGACTCACATTCCCAACTCATTCAGTTTGGAAAGAATCCCAAAAGTTTACTTTGTCTTTTTATCTTTGTCTCTCTGTTTCTATTTTCAATCGTGTATTCTTTGATCGTCCCTTCTTCACTTTCAATCAATGACACAACAGTCTGATCGCCGGATTTTGAAGTTTCCGGCCGTTCATCCCTGTGAATACGTCTCGCCGGTAACCCTTCTCCGTGATCTCATTAGTCTCTCTCGTGAAATCAACGATTACCAGTTGAAGGTAGTCGCGATCCATAAGCGACATGCGCGAGAAACGATTCGCCAAATTGGACTTCTCCTCATCTTCTTTGAAGAAGTTTGGGACCGTTGTCGATCGTCTCTTCCGGATTCAGTCGTTCTCTGCTTCTCCGAGCTCCATATCGCCTTACAAAAGTTCCGGTATTTATTAGAAGACTGCACCCGTGAAGGTGTTCGGCTTTGGGTTCTGATGAAGTGCGAGCGCATCTCGACCGAGTTTCGCATTTTGATCCGAGCCATCGCTACGGCGCTCGACGTTCTCCCTTTGGACTCCATAGACGTCCCAATAGAAGTGAGGGAATTGGTCGAATTAGTAGCCAAGCAGGCGCACAAGGCAAAATTTGATGTCGACCCAGATGACGAACTCGCCGCCAGGAGTGTTCTTTCGATTCTAAATCAATTTGAGAACGGGGTTTCGCCCAACCCCAATGATCTCAGGCGTGTTCTGGACCATCTCCAGATCCGAAGCTGGAACGAGTGCAATGACGAGATCAAATTCTTGGACGAGGAGATTGATTTGGAGAGCTCGGATGGATACGACAGGGAGGTGCTGCTCCTGAGCAGTCTGGTGGGATTTATGAGCTATTGCCGTGCCGTGATGTTCGATGCTGTGGATGGCAGAAGCACCAACAGATTGGAAGCAAGATACGACTCGGAAGTGCTTAGTTGCCTGAACCCAGAGGATTTCCGATGTCCCATCTCTCTTGAGATTATGACCGATCCTGTAACCGTATCAACCGGGCAGACCTACGATCGCTCATCGATTCAAAAGTGGCTCAGGGCCGGACACAGCACCTGTCCCAAAACAGGGGAGAAGCTAACAAATACAGAGTTGGTCTCCAACACGGCTCTCAGAAAGCTTATCCGGCAGTTCTATTCTGATAACCGGATTCCAGTTGCAGAAACAGGCAACCGGAACCGTGATATAACAAGGACAAATCTTTCGGGAAGCCCAGCGGCCGCGGAAGCCATGAAAATGCTTGCAAATTTTCTAGTTGGCAAGCTTGCTGAAGGAACAGATGAAGAGAAGAACAAGGCCGCTTTTGAGATCAAGTTGCTTGCAAAATCAAACATATTCAATAGGTCTTATTTGGCAGATGCGGGCACAATCCCATATCTCCTAAAGCTGCTTCCTTCAACCGATCCATCAACACAACTGAATGCTATGACAGCCCTGTTGAACCTTTCAAAGCATTCCAGGAGCAAAATGTTGATTGTCGAGAGCAGTGGATTGGATTTGATTCTCAATGTTCTAGGAGAGGGAATAACGGTGGAATCTCGGCAGATTGCTGCTGCTACACTCTTTTACCTTTGCTCAGTCGAGGAGTACCGGAAACTGATCGGAGAAATACCAAATGCAATTTCTTCCTTGGTAGAGCTCATCAGGATTGGAACACACCGTGGGAAGAAGAATGCTGTGGTTGCAATTTATGGGCTTCTTCTCCTTCCGGAGAACCATCAGAGGGTGCTGGCAGCCGGAGCAGCTCCATTGCTGGTCGATCTGTTGGCATCGTCTGAGAGATCTGATCTTATAACCGATTCTCTAGCGGTGCTAGAAAGGCTAGGAGAGAAACCGGACGGAACGATGGCAATTCTCTGCACCTCTGCTCTACCTCTTTTCGTGGGAATTCTACGCTCTTCGACGTCTCGTGCAGCGAAGGAGCATTGCGTTTCATTGTTGCTGTCCCTATGCATCAACGGTGGCGCAGAAGTGATTGCCATTTTACAGAAGACCGCCTCGCTCATGCCATCATTGTACTCTCTTCTTACAGAAGGCACCTCCCGTGCAAGTAAGAAGGCCAGTTCACTCCTCAGTATCCTCCATGAATTCCACAACCCAAGCTCGCCTGGTTTATTGACTCAGGCAGTGCGACAAGAACGAATCGTTCACGTACAATAGCTCTCCTTTTTTCTCGTTATTCCTTTTTGGTTCTTGACAGTATTCTTTTCAAAGCATCTACCCGTGTAAAGATAGTGGGTGCTTTGTTTTTTGTTCCTTTTTCAGGTTGAATTTTGTGATATTAGCTCGGTTTTTTGAAGAGCTAAAGTTTGCCAGGCTTCTGATTATGAAGCTCAATGTATATAATACAATATACGATGTATTGTATTTTTTTAAGAATAATACCAATAAAATTGTTTTACTGTAAAAACCCAATAAAAAAAATCTGTATTCCATGGTTTTTTTTTTTTTTTATCTATAGAAGTGAAATAAACAACAACGATTCCTTCTCTTACAGTAAGAGCTAGCTTAAGCGTGAGTTCTGAAGCCTCTGTTCAGTACTACTGTTCTAAAGTTTAGGATCTGAAAATTTTATTATGTCGCCACTTATTGTGAGGACTTTTGCCTGAGAATCAGTAATAATATGTTATTCTCACCATTTTCATCTCATGGCATTAGTTTCTCCAGATTTAGATTAACAAGTATCTTCCCTAAGAGGATTTGCAGGAGTACTATTCTGAAGCTGTAGATATCATCACCAGATCGATGAATTCAATGGTGGTTACTTTGGTAACCAAATGTTTCCCTCACTTCTGAGCTCTCACATAATTGGCCCAGCTTGATAACCTTGGACAAATTAATGAACATCCAATACATTTGCTTCAAATTAAATTGATCCAAAGGAGTATGTTAGATACTCACAAAATTGAAACAGATACTATTATCTCAGATAATGCAAAAGGAACATGATCATACCTTCAATATAACCTCTAATTCATCGAATTCTTAATATAGACTAAATTTCTTTGATTATGTGCCAATTCTGAGAAAGAAAAAGGCGAGGAAATGCATACCAGAGATATTGAAGTCAGGCAATTACTCACCCTGTATCAAGTTGAACAACTCCGAATAGTGACAACATAAATCAAACTTCGGTCTTGGTATTGGCATTCAATTTTTGCCAATTCGTGTCTTTAACGGGGACGTGTGTTACACAGCTATTACGTGTTCATTAATCGTGCCTGATACATCCCGACCCATAAATATAATATTATTGTTTTAGGATTTTTGCTCTCAAAAGAAACCTAACGAGTCCAAAGTGTGTTGAATAAAAGAATAAAACTCACTACTTCACTCCTAAGCTCCCATTGTGGCTCTTACTTCATGCATCGGTAGAGGCTGAATACAAGCTTTCTATTCATGAAAAAACAACTATATTTTAGTTTAGCCTGGAAGATTAATCACCCATATCCCCTCCAAAAATTAACCCTGTAAACTACATATCAGCGGCCAACTTTTTCCATTGAAATTTTGTAAAACCAAGATATCAAACTTTGGATTAATATGCCAACCTGTGATTGGGCTCAAATTTCTCGAGTGACATATCATTCAATGTAAATGGTCTTGATACGTTAAGAAGCTATTAATTTGTCTACAACAAAAAATAAAACACGTGAGTACTCCCAACTCACAAGTAGAGGGCGTTCTTGATATAATGCTGCCAGTTTGTGTTTGTCTTACCTCGCCGGCTAGGAGGAGGGTTGTGGCATTTAGCAGTCGGATTTAAGATTAAATCAGCCTCCCACAACGTCCACAGCACACCCCCGCCGTATATTGGTAATATCTCCTGATGATAATGTCAGAAATGATGATGATATCATCATCAGGAGATGTTCCCAATACACGGCGGGGTATACTGTGGGAGGCAATCTTGAGGGGCTGATCTGAACTCGTCGGAATAAAGATTTTTTTAATTTTTTTGCAAAATTCTTAAAGGCATTCTTAATTTAACAATTCCATGTGATGAATCTTAAATGGTGAAACAGGATTCATGTAACCAATTCCATGTGATAAATCTTAAATGATGATAATGTTTAGTACCAAAAAAAGTGATGATAATGTTGTTGTGATGATGATGATGATGATATAAGGTATTCTTCATTTCTGTTTAAATGACTTCAAGAGAAATTTTAACAGGGTTGATATTTTTCCCCTTGTCCTAGTGGTCCTAGGTAGTCATAAGAGTTAAGTTTGATTGCATAATGTCAATTATATCTATACCTTTTACTTGTCCATACGCCCCTACACTGGTAGGGTATAGAGAATTGAGTGAAATTTGAGACAGAGCTAAACAGACATGCAATCAAAGAAAGAGACAAAGCAGACCGTTTTATAAGAAAATTAAAAAAAAAACATTGTATAAGAAAATCCAAAGAAAAAACAAAAGGAAAGAAATAAAATGGTGAACTCTAAACCATTTTAGAAGATCTTGAAGAAGAAGAAAACCAAACGCACACATACACAGATAAAAAAAAAAGAAGAAAATGAAAAAAAAGGAGTATATCGCACACGCTCGAATAAAACCAACAATAGAAGAAACCTTTGAATAGTGAAAATCCAAAAGCACAAAAACCATGGTTTTCGAACTGTCATTGATCCGAATGGATGGACATTTTGGCCCGGGAACCGTTCAGGCAACCGGTTCCATTTTACCCCAATCCCAGTCCTTGGCCAAAAACAGTTGAATCGATCAACGACCCATTGACCCGATCAGTCAAATTGTTGACCCGTTCAATGGTTTTGACCGTTTTTTATTTTTTCTAATTGGGAACCGTCTAGGCAACTGGTTTCGTTTTATCCCAATCCCGATACCTGGCAAAAAACTGTTAAATCAGTCAAAGATCCATTGATTTCCTAATCGAACCGTTGACCAGTTTAGTGTTTTTGGTCATTTTCTTTTTTTTCTAATTTTTGTTGTCAAGACGGGTCATCCGTTTGAACCGGACGGTCAAACTGTTCACCCAAAAACCGGTGGCTAGAATGGTTTTGTTTTTCGGGTTGTATGAGTCACACACTCGAATGACATAACACGTATGGTATTGCTTAATGGACCTCACACACTTAATTTTTTTTCCTGTAATGTTTATTGTCAGAACGGGTTGTTCATTCAAACAGGATGGTCGAATCGCTGTTTTTTTTTTTATTTTTTAATTGAGAACCATCCAGGAAACTAGTTTCGTTTTACCCCAATCTTGATCCCTGGCCAGAAACCATTGAATCGATCAACAATCCATTGACCCGAATGATCGAACCATCGACCCATTGACCTATTCAATGATTTTTTGTTGTTTTTTATTTTTTTAATTTTTGTTGTCATAATGGGTCATCCATTCGAACTAGACAGCCGAACCGTTGACCCAAAAACCGATGGCCAGAACGGTTCCATTTTTGAGTTGTATGAGTTACGCACTCAAATGACGTAGCACGTATGATACTGCTTAATGGACCTAACACACTCAATGGGTCATCCCTATAATTTTTGTTGTCAGAATGAACCGTTAGTTCGAATTGGACAGTCGAACTGTCAACTTGAAAATTAATGGCCATATATATATATGGCCATTGGTTTTGGGTTGATGATTCAACTATTTGGTTTGAATGAATGGCTCATTCTAACAACAATAATTACAAGCGAAAAACTACGGAACCGTTATGGCCATTAATTTTCGAGTTGACAGTTCGACTGTCCAATTCGAACTAACGATTCATTCTGACAACAAAAATTATAGGGAAAAATATTCATTCAAACCAAATAGTTGAGTCATCGACCCAAAATTCAAGTATTTTTGGGTTATGCTACTGCACTCCTATGTTTTATATATTAGATAAGCTAATATTTAGTGTTATGCTACTGCACTCCTAAATTCAAGTATTTTTTTATTTTTTATTTATTTATACAAGTTTTTGGGGTTTATTTGACTTGCATATTTTGTATAGAGTTTATTGATATATATATTATTTGACTTGCATATTTTGTATCAGAGTTTATTGATATATATATATATATATATATATATATATATATATATATATATATATATATATATATGTGTGTGTGTGTGTGTGTGTGTCTTATGAAGGGGCTTTTCCATTGACCTTCTGATTTATATATTAGATAAGCTAATATTTAGTGTTATGCTACTGCACTCCTAAATTCAAGTATTTTTTTTATTTTTTATTTATTTATACAAGTTTTTGGGGTTTATTTGACTTGCATATTTTGTATCAGAGTTTATTGATATATATATTATTTGACTTGCACATTTTGTATCAGAGTTTATTGATATATATATGTCTTATGAAGGGGCTTTTCCATTGACCTTCCATCTGTTTTATATATTAGATAAGTTAATATTTAGTGTTATGCTACTGCACTGCTAAATTCAAGTATTTTTTTATTTTTTATTTATTTATACAAGTTTTTGGGGTTTATTTGACTTGCATATTTTGTACAGAGTTTATTGAACTTTTAAATTTGTTTTTCTGATTTTTTATATTCATATCACAGGGTTCAAGTTCTTTTTTTTTTTTTTTTTGGATTCAAGGTCTGTTTTGGATTTTATGCTTATTCAAGGCTAGGTAGTTTGACTCACGATTCCATGAGTGGATGACACTTCTAATACGTTGAAAACTAAGCTACCATTTGTTGTTGTGCTGATAACTGGATCCTTTTTATGTTGAGACTTTAGGTTTCCTTTTATACTCTTTTTTAACCAAAAGTCTAATATTTTGATTTCCTTTAATCACAAATTAAATCTAATTTGGGATTGTAAATCAAAAAATCTAGAAGAAAGGCTTACAAGATGTTACTAATTTAGTAAAGAAGTAGCACAGATTTTGTTGATTTGTTTGGGATAGGATCAAACTGAGAAGGATGGCTACGGCCCTAATGAGTTGATTTGTTTGGGATAGGATCAAATTAATGGTATTTTCTGCATTTTCTGTAATTTTTTGGTATTTTTTGCATTTTCTGCAATTTTTTGGTATTTTTTTTAGATTTTCTGGTATTTTCTGTATATTTTTTGCAATTTTATGGTATTCTATGCATTTTTTTGGTATTCTTTTGCATTTTCTGTAACTTTTGTAATTTTCTGGTATTTTTCTGTAATTTCTGGTTTTTTTTGCATCTTCTGCAACTTTTCTACATAATTTTTGCAATTTTCTGTTATTTTTCTGCAGTTTTTTTGTATTTTCTGCATTTATTGCAATTTATGCCTTGTATTATTCGACTTAGCTCGGCTCCCACCCCTACTCAATAATCAATACACATAACCCCTAATCCTAAAATTCACTATGAAAATATGTGATGGACACATGCCCTTCAATTGGATAGGAGTAAATTATTGCCCCTAAGAAAAAAAAAAAAAAAAGGAGAATGACTAATCAGCCCAATTCGGAATTCTTAGCCCATAGTATAAGAGGATGAATCCTAATCGTGGATTGATGCCAAGTATATGACAAGATTAAGCTACTTAGATTATAGGGAATTTGGCTTTAGTCAGGGCAAACTCTGTTTGAGCTAAGAATTCTGCATTAGGGAGATATTACCGATCAAGATTGAGAATATTTCCATACTTATAAATAAGCTTTATTTCATAAGGAGATATTTCCGATGCAAGATTGGGAAAGGCTGTTAGAACGGTGTGGGCATGAATTCTGCATTAGGTGCAGTGTATTTCTCTTCAAAAATAATTCCTAGGGTCGTACCACATGCAATACAATCATTTGAAATTAAAAAAAAATAATAATAATAATAAATGATATAATGCCTTTAATTTATTGTAAAAGGGTAGTTGAGAGCACTGTTTGGGATGGATTCTGCGCTTGAGGCAAATTGCATCAATTGAGCTGCTTTAGTGGAAAGCACCCATGAATTTGGGGTTCGAAATACCAATGTTGGCTTTCCGGGATTTTCGCTAAACAGAGCTTGAAGAGAAATTGGAAAGTTAGAAACTGTCCGAAAAGCCCTCCCAAACCGGCACTTAGGGGGTCTCACGGAGTCACAGGAAATGCAAGCGCGCCCGCCACCCCCCACCCCCCAAAGACCCTCCTCTCCTCGCCTCAAGCCCTCAACTATTGCCATTGATTTTGTAGTAATTGCAAATTCACAACAGGAGGAGATGTTATCAGTTGGTAGGTTCTCTGACTCGTCGGAGTAGAGACCTGGGATCAAATCCCGCTGCCATCAAGTTAACAAAGGTACTACTCGTTGCTGCTAACAATACACAATTGCAAGTTCAGCAGAGTTCAGTTCAGGTCTATATATATGGACGCCATAAAAACAATACACAATGCAATTAACAAACGGTTAACTCAAGCGGGATGAACAGACCTTATATTAATAAGTGTTGCACCTGATGAAATTTTTAGATTGTGTTTGACAACTTACCAATTAGGCTTCAACTTTATTAAGAGAGAAACGTGACGTGCCAACGATACGATAGACCCAGTTGCAGCCAAGTCACGTTCTCTTGCAGGTTTCATCGATGAGCTGATCTAACGTGCGCCATGACGACCCACCTTCTTCCATGGCCATTCTAGCTGTTTTCTGCATCTCTTTCACCTTCTTCCTCACCCTCTCTCCGTCTTCTCCCCCTATTAATTCCTTCACCATCTTCTCTATCATCTCTGAGTCCACGAAACCTCGAACTGATGAACCATTGTTTGCGAGAACTCTTAGACCCACGCCGATCTCATCCACTACCATCCTCGCATTCAGGTGTTGGTCCGCCATCATTGGCCAAGCCAGGATCGGCACCGACGCACATATACTCTCCAACACCGAGTTCCAACCGCAGTGACTCATGAACCCATTTACGCTCTGGTGCTCCAGTATCTCCCCTTGCTTCACCCACTCCCTTACAACTAGTCCTCTGTCTTTCACCCTCTCCTCGAATCCATCGACTTGTAATTCCGCTCCCTACGGTCTGACGGCCCACAAGAAATCTACTTTAGACCGCTCCAACCCAATTGCGATCTCTCGAAGTTGCTCCGACGAGATCTCTGCTTGGGACCCAAAAGCAACATACAAGACAGACCGACCCTCGGCTGACTTCTTATCGAGCCATTGCACCCACGCAGGTTTCTGGAGAGGCTGGACTCCTGTCGGGGTCGGCGATTCAGCCAAGCATAGAGGTCCCACACACCAGGCCTTGGGCAGGAACTCACGGTTCCAGCTGTCTAGGTAAATTGACTCCAGCTCGTCGAAGCTGTTGACGAGGAGACCCTGGCTGTTGGACGTGGCCATGGCATGCTCTACAATTGACTGAAGCAGGGGATTCCTCTGGTCAAGGTCTCTGAGAGGATAATCAAAACCATTTCTGGTGAGTTTGACCCAAGGGAAGCTAGGCACGCTGAAGGGCTCATCATCTGATTCAATGTTTACAAGCAGACGATCCCGACGCACAAGGCGGTTGAGGATCAGGGCATAATTGCTCATGCCGTAGAATACGAGCCTGGGGATACCAAATTTGGACGCTGACTGCAGAGTCCAACTGAGGAAGCCGTCGGAGATTATGCAGTTAACAGTTGGAAGACTCTGAAGGGCTTGTTCGAAGTGGGGCTGCATGAGTTTGGTAGCATTTGAGAAAGGGAGAAAGAGAGACATGGAAGGAAGTAGATCAGTGCTCTCGACCCCTGGTGGAAGTTCGGGGACATTTTGAGGGAAGTCGAGATCGATGACGCGAACGACGGAGGAGTCTGTGTCGGCAAGAAATTGGCGGATGAAGGGAGAATTTGCCGGAGTGGAGAAGATGGTAAGAGAGATGCGGCGGCGGCGGAGAAGGAGGTGGACGAGGTGGAGAATTGGGATTGTGTGGCCTTTAGACATGAAAGGGAAGAGAACAATATGAAGAGAAGTCATCCTTTCTTCTTCTTCTGGCTCGTTTCAGCGCTGCTTGCAGTGACAAGTTGGCAACTCTTCTCTTTGCTTTTATTCCTTAAAAATAAGCGGTTAGTGGAATTAACGCTTATTTTGCTTTTGGAAATAACTTATTATTGCTGAGAATAAGTGATAATTAGAGAAACCCAAATTGTCAAAATCTTATTTTTAATTGTCAAAATCTTTGAAAGAAAGGAAAACCTATGATATAAGAGCAGAAGAGTTTTGACGCAACACATGAATTTTGATGAATATCATCTCATTGTGCGTCCGGCTTCTATCAGGGCAAACGGGATTTTTTCCTCACTTTTTTTATTCACGCTCTACCCGCCGCGAATTGTAGCCACACATTTTTACTATGAAGAGATGTGTGGCTACGATATACGGCAGGTAGAAAGTGGATAGGAAAAGTGAGCAAGAAATTTAGATTCCTATCGGAGCAGGGCAGAGTCCATGCTTACACCGTTCGCGTAGCATGAGGACACACACCATGCGTCTTTTGGTTCGTGCATTGGTTTAATGTGTTCGAAATCAATTAAACAGAATCTATCATTTATGTCGTTAGCTTTTCATTCATTCCATTCCACTTCCCGCTCTAAATTTGCCGGACTCTGCCCTCGCCAGTCACTCTCACTCTCCCCCTCTAACCGGCGGCGATTAACAATCATCACCGACGACCTAAGAAAAACCTCATGTGTTTTGGACTCTGCCCTGATACAAGTCCAACTGTTATCATCAGAGATCAAATTCGCCTACCCTTGCCGAATATTCTAGGTACAAAACCAACTGGGATGCAGCCAATGATAATTATCCATCTCCCAAGTGTATCAACTTCTTGTTCTGAAGGCTTTGTATGGTTAAAGTGCAATTTTATTTGTACTAGTACAAATGCATGGGACTGCAAATTATTGTTTAATTTTGTTTTAGATTTTATTTTATTTGTACTGAAATCAAACAAAGTAAATTAAAATTTATAATAAAAATAGGTCAGAATTTACACTCAAATCGTTTGCATTGTCATGATTTTGCATCGATACAAATTTATTTTCATTGCAATCAAACACAGCCTTAGGGCCCATGAGAGAGCTCACATCTAAAAACCTATACAACCAAATACAATTCTAAATATAGTCAAAACTTTTCTCTTTTAACAATTAACAAACCACCATCACCAGAACCGGAAGCATTTTCTTATTTAGTGGTACAGCTTTTCTTTGTAGGCCTAGGATCAGTCAGTGGTCCTACACAAATGGGACAATCCATTACATCNACCGGAAGCATTTTCTTATTTAGTGGTACAGCTTTTCTTTGTAGGCCTAGGATCAGTCAGTGGTCCTACACAAATGGGACAATCCATTACATCAGTCCATATTCATAAAAAATTCGGGAGGGGGTTGATTGGTTGAAGTTCTAGAAAATAATACATGAAAGAATGGTAGGATCCATCTAATGGATGCCAAGAAGGTTGCGGAATGGGTGGGCGAATTTCAAAAATTTCCCTACCTTCTTCCAACTGCGAATCATATTCCCTAAATTTAGAATACAATATTTAAGGATCCTACTTGAACCATAATTGAACCAGATCTTAACCAAAGAGAAAATGGAGGACTATACCTGATCCGGAGAAGCAGTATCTCCCAAAGTTGGTGTTCACACCCAAAGAAGACATCAAGATCTGCTCCTGCTGAAGATGACACAGCTGTGGGTGGAACGGAACCAGTAGAGTGCGTCCTACACACTGGATCCTTCGCAAGAATCCTCTGGAAACTCTGAACACCG